GAGTTAGAAGCTTAGAAAATAACAAGAGTGAGTGCATCTTGAAGATCCGGAGTTGAATTCCCCACAATCATTGGGACACTGCGAGGGAAGCTCATTCTTTTTCCTTATTCTCCTTGTAATCTCTCTTGTTAGGGATTGTATGTAATTTTACTTATAAAAAGTATGCATCTTTGTTAATCATAGTGTTTTATACGATCTATTTCATAAATCTATATCGATTTCATCTTTGTTTACCTGTTTATGTTTGGATTTGAACCGTTATAGACATATACTATTCAGATCCAGAACTAGGATGAACATATGTTAGATTCTAAACTCTAGACATAGTAGATTTAACATCCGCGTGAGTATCAAATCTTAATGCTCCGTGTTGTTTGATAAGCTGAGAGATCGTCGATTAAATAATACGGTTGAACCTGAATTACGGTAGACCGATTCAATAGAAGATACCAACCAAAAGTTGGGAAACAAGATACTAACCAAAAGTTAGGATTGAAAGGAATACACCAACCAAAAGTTAGGATACAACGAAGGATATACAAGAAGTAGAATCAACGGACGTTGATCAGTGCATTTTGATGCACATTCTTCCATGTTTGTACTCAAGCATTTCTTTGATTTGTTTTATTTATTTTTATGCTTTAAGGTCTTTTTATATTTTATTTTATTTTTGCATTTATTTGTTTTTCGTATTTATTTTTCAGCTTTAGCAGCTTTCGCGAGAAAAATCATAACTGGAGTTCCGGGAGTCCGTTTGAGGCGTTCTAAAAATCGACGGAAAGCTAAGAGAGAAAGCTACAACTTTCGTGTTGGAGTCAAAGTCAGATTCGAAGCACAAAATTCCAGAATTTTTTTTGAAGCTACAGCATTAGAATTTTATTTTAGTGTTGGGTCATGTATTGGGCCTGGGTTATATTTTCGACCTAGTTGGGTTTTGAGCCGGATCCATTGTTTGCCTTTTAAGGAGAACTCGTGTTACTGTTCACATTAGTTAGAATTCTCGAAAATAATATTGTGGAGCTTTTTACAAATTCTATGGAGAACTAAACACTCTGAGTCGGTCTACCGTAATTCAGGTTCCAACACTTGAGATTATTGTAATTTTAGACATGGACGTTGATGTGAGTGATACGTGATGATACTGGTGAATGTTTTAGATTGTGTACAACTGATTAATAGATTTACGTATTTGAGCGGTGAATGAAATTCAATCCTTACGAGATCTATTGTCTCTCAGATGATACTTTATATTTTTCTTTCATTCATTTTATATAGTGTAGCTTTAAATTCAAATGATACAAACCTAATCTTAGAGATATAGAGATTTTTGAACGGTAAAATCCTGAGGGAATTCTTCCAAATATTTTGCTTCTTGCTGCTATATTGCAACTCAAACAAAATGGCGTCGTTGCCGGGAATTGGTGTTGATATTGAAAATATTATGATAGTTTTTATATTTCTAAGCTTTGTACATAATTGTATATATTGTATATATGCTTGTATATATACTTGTTTTACTTTTATTTTCCATCCTTGTCTATAATTGTTTTTCATACTTGTTTATACTTATGTTCTATACCCGTTTTCTACACAAACTTGTACATATGTGTTTTCCATATTGTTTGTGTGAGTGTTTTTGTATATATGTGTTTTCCATTATGTTTGTTCAAGCATTGTATACATTTTATTCTCGTAACGTTTGTTTAAGTATTTGGTTATGACACTTTCTTTAGGTTTGTACTTTAAGGAAAAACATCAGGATGTCTATGAGGAAGTTACTAGACAAGAACAATAAAGGTGTCGAGCTAACGATGTGAAACAAACACTTGTTGCGAGGCAACCTAACAATTTTTGAGTTTGTATAACTTTATGTTTAGTTAGTTTAATTTGATTTTGTTAGGTTGTTAGAAAAATTTTGTGTTTTTTCTCAAACTTTATTTTTGATTAGCTTGGGGAGACATGTTGTGATTGTTCTACAAGGAATTTCATGGTAATATAATAGTTTAAAGAAAGTTGCATTGTCAGGTATGTGTTTAGTACTTTATACAAGATAGCGTGAACATGAACTTTAGGCTTTGTACAAATAACATGTCATTCATTCTCTTGCAGTTCTTGTTCATTTGTGAATCACTTTAGTTCATAGCCCAAATGTGAGGAAACCTTCCATTGTTTACTAAATGTACAAGAAACCAATATCTTTATTTAACTCGTTTGACTTATGTTTAATCTTGTATTTGTGTTGATTGTATAAAAGTATGAAAATGATCAAGGTATTTTGTTTAATTTTGAGCACGACCACTTGACCAAATAGTCAATCTACCGTATGAGTGAGTGAGAATTTTCTTACCCCCTTTGAGCTTTTGTTAGAATCCATGTTAGTGTTTAGCTCATTTTTGTATGGATTCTGGATTTTTTCTTGAACCCTCAACCATTAATTATGGTTTAATTTTTACCCTTACCCTAATATATTTGGGAGCATTTACATCACATTATTTGGTTGTATTCAAGTTGGAGAGAAAATGTTGGTTGCTATGTGGTTGAGAAAGAAAAAGATTTAAAAGAAAGAAAAAATTGAAAAAGAAAAGAAAAAAAAGGAAAGAAAAAAGTGAAAAAGAAAAGAAAAAGAAAAGAAAGAGAAAAAGCATTGAAAATAAAGAAAAAAATATATCAAATAAATTATACTAATAAGTTATGTGAAATGGTGTAACAATTGGGAAAATAGAGAAAGGTGAAGGAATCTTGTGAATGCTTGAGAAATGACCACTCTCATTTGACTATGCAAGTTTTTGTTTCATTGACCTTGAGAAATTGACTCTTCAGTGTTAGTCAAGCCACATTACAACCATCCTTATCCTCACAAACACATACAATCACAAAATTTGAGACGATGAACAGGCGATGAACAGGAAAAACCCCCAATCCCTAACCCTAACCCCAATTTCATAATTCTGAGACCTAAATTCATCCCTCATTCCTTGTTGTTATCCAGATTTGTAGCTGCTTGTTTCGATCCTTCGAAGGTTAGGATGTTATCTCCGGCTTAAATTCCTAGCTTTCGAGTTTAGGGGCCTTGGTAACCACCTGATTTTCTTGGATTGTACTGCGGTCCTATCATGGTCTGGGAGAAGGTCGCTAGGAATGCTAGGAAAGGATTTCATGGTGGTTTCTCTGTTTGGAAGGAGAATAGAGGTAAGGGAGATATTAATGGTGATGATACGACTTCCTTCTTTGTTACTGCATTCCCAGAAAAGTTGAATGCTAAAGATCTGTTTGAGGTCTTCAAGGTCTACGGAGTAATCTCAGAAGTTTTCATATCCGCTAAGAGGGATAAGCGAGGAAACAGATTCAGTTTCGCAAAATTTCGAAAGGTACATGACCCTCGTATTCTGGCATGTAACCTTGATAGCATTGTTCTGGAAGGCAAGAAGATCTTTGTGAATATCCCCAGATTTAGTAAGGAGAACAAGAGGATGAATCCTGGTAGCGAAGCCCTGAGGAGGAAAACTCAACATGTTCAACATGGGTTTCTTAAGAAACCTGTCAAAATGCTTAGGTCCTTTGCCAGAGTGGTAAAAGGAGATCATCCTAATGCAGAGGTTGCTGCAAAGGGAGTTGCTCAACCCACAATTCTAGAGGTGGAAGATGAGTGGCTAAGGAGACTGAATCTTATGAGAGTGGGAACTGTTCAGGAAGATGGAAATGCTTTCCATATTCAGAAGCTTTTGTACGAAGAAGGTTTTTTTAGTATTAAGGCTACCCCTTTGGGAGTTTCTTTGTGTCTGTTAGAAGATACCTCTGGAGGTGACTTGGAGATTTTCATCAAAGAAGCTAGTGATTGGCTAGACATATGGTTCAAAGACATTCGAATTTGGAATTTGGAGGATATAGACAGAGACAGATTAGTGTGGATTAGGTGCCTTGGTTTACCCTGTGTTGCCTGGAATGAGAATAATTTCAGATTGATATCCTCTAAACTGGGCTCTTACGTCAAATGCGATGAGAAGACGTGGAACAAAGAGAGCATGGTTATAGCTAGAATTCTGATTAAAACTAGTCTTAGGGCTATTCTGAATTTTAAGGTTGATATTGTCGTTACTAACCATTCCTTCTCCGTCTCTATCTCCGAAGATTTATCGTCTGGTTCAGGAGATCCCCTATCTGGTGAAGTTGATGAGTTGATAGACTCAGATGAAATAGAATCCACAACTCCATCTGAACTCAATGCTGATTGGGAGTTTCACGAGGAGGAAGAGAGCGTAGATAACATTCCTTCTGTCCCCCAGACAGAAGTCAGAACTCCTCACCCTGAAGCTCTAAAGGTTGATTTTAATCTGTCTATTTCAGATAGTGTATCTGCTGTTAAGGAAAGCACAGGCCTTGTGGTAGAAGGTGTAGGGAATAGAGAGGTTTCCTTCGTGAACCCTGTAGGTCTGGTTACTTCTAGAGGAACTCTACCCGTTCCTGCTGAGGATGCTTCAGATTCTTGTAATTCTAAAGTAGCAGAGGTAGATTGTAACGGGGATTTGGAGATCGACTCAGGCTTGCATCCTCCTTTTTGTGGGCTTCCTGGTGGAGGTTTTGGACCTGCTTCTAAAGGGAAAGTTAAAAAGAAAAAAATTACTCCATGAGGTTTATAACAGCATTAAGATACCCTACACCCACTCGTATTTCTCAACTCTGCTACACTCTGTTCCTACGGACATCCCTCGACCTGAACCGAAGATTAAGGTTAAGAAGGAAAGAAAGAAGGGAAAGCTGGCCAGAGATTGTCCAGGATCCAGTTTATTATGCTGTGAATCGATTACGGACACCGACGTGGAAAGGGGCAATTTGAGATGCAGGAAAGCCATTGAAGAAATACCATATACTCTGGGCAATGTCATTAACGCTTTGGGTTTTCAATGCGAAGACGAAGAGAACTTTGGGCTTATCTTGAGGTAGCTGGACATGGAAGATCAAGAGGTTGTTCTTAATAAGAAGGTTGTAGCTAGAGGTGATCCATGAATATAGTTACTTTCAACGCAAGAGGATGTTGTAGTTCCGTGAAGAGAAGGAGAATATCCCAAATTCTCACGAGAGGCAAAGCTGATATCTGCATGATTCAGGAAACTAAGTGTAATAATATGGAAGCTGGCTTCGTTAATAGCATGTGGAGTACTGTTGACAAGAACTGGTCTGTTCAGAACTCAGTAGGCAATTCAGGTGGCATCCTCTCTATGTGGAACACTACCAGAATTTCAGCTGTCTCAAGCTTCAGTGGGAAAGGCTACCTTGGCTTGCATTTAGTTTGGAATAATCATAATCTGGTCGTTATTAACGTGTACGCTCCGTGTAATCCAGCAGACAAGAGGAGGCTGTGGAGAGACCTGATCAATATTAAAAACAATTTCCATGATGTAGGCTGGATTCTGGGGGTTGATTTCAACTCGGTGAAAAACGGCGAGGAAAGACAAGGTCTCAGCGGTAATAACAATAGGGATATGAAGGAGTTTAATGATTTCATTGAAGAGTTTAACGTTTCGGACTTGCCGGTTTTTGGTAGCCGATTTACATGGTTCAACTCTAATGGAAAGAGCAGAAGTAGACTTGATAGAATTTTGGTGGATGATCGAGTTATATCTCTGTTTTCGTTGAAGAACCAAGTGGTGGGGGATCATGACATATCGGATCATCGACCGATGTGGTTGAAGTCCAACTTTGTTAATTGGGGGCCTAAACCTTTTAGGTGTTTCAACTGCTGGTTTGAACATAAGGAATTCATCCCTTTTGTGTCGAAATCGTGGAACTCCTATCATGTTTCAGGATCGTTCCGCAACATCCTTTTCAAGAAATTTCAAGCCCTGAAATCAGATCTTAGAACCTGGAACCTTAATGTTTTTGGCTGGTTGGAGTTAGAAATTGAGGAAAATATTGTTGAGTTCAATAAGCTGGAGTTATCTTCCGTTGACGGTTCAACTCTGTGCGATGACGATGTAATTAGAGAAATGACTCGGCATCAGGAGAAAATGTGGAGAGATATGAGGATCAAAGAAAATATGCTGGCTCAGAAATCCAGAATCAGTTGGTTGCAAAACGGCGATTCAAATTCTAAGTTTTTTCATGACTCTCTCAAATATAGGAATCGTTCGAACCACCTTTCAGCTATCACAGTGGGAGGCTGGACTATTAAAGCTCCTGAGGATATTAAGTTCGAAGCCGTTAAGTTCTTTAAGGATAAATATTTGCAGCATTCGAAGGCTAAAGTCAGTAGTGGTATATTTCTGGATACCTGCCTTAGTGATGAGGACATTAGCTTCCTTGAAGCAGATTTCTCCCTGTCTGATGTGAGAAAGGCTGTTTTTAACTGCGACGGTAACAAATGCCCTGGCGTCGATGGTTTTAACTTCAGATTTATCAAATCTTGTTGGGATATTATTGGTCAGGATTTCTCAAACTGCATCCTGGAATTCTTCAAGACAGGAGTTCTGCCCAAGATGTTTGCGTCTTCTTTCATAGCGCTAGTTCCGAAGAATTCTAATCCCTAACAGTTCGAAGACTTCAGACCAATTACTTTGGTCAGCTGTGTCACTAAGGTTATATCTAAGATGCTTGCCTCCAGATTGAGCAAGGTAGTTCACAAAATTGTTTCCCCGTCCCAAACAACTTTCATCCCGGGTCGACAAATCTACGACGGGGTTCTGCTAGCTAATGAAGTAGTAGATTACGCAAAGAGGTTTAACAAGGCTTGTCTTCTCCTCAAAGTCGACTTCGCTAAAGCCTATGACTGTGTCGACTGGTCTTACCTCGATGGAATGCTAGTCAAGATGGGCTTCGATGCTAATTGGATGAAATGGATTCGTGGCTCGGTTTTTAACAGTTATATTTCAATCCTTATTAATGGAAGTCCCTCGAAAGATTTTCGGGTTGGTAGAGGTCTTAAGCAGGGAGATCCGTTGGCGCCGTTTCTGTTTGCCATTGTTGCTGAAGGGCTGTCCTGTGTTGTTAGAGCGGCGGCTGCCGGTAATCTTTTATCAGAATTCAAGATTAACGGTCAGGCCACAGTGAACCTGTTACAGTTTGCAGATGATACCCTGCTTATAGGTGATGCATCAGCTTCTAACATTTGGATATTCAAGGCAATTCTGCGTGCTTTTGAACTGAGTTCTGGATTGAAGATTAACTTCTCTAAAAGCTGCATTTTTGGGATATGTGTTGATTTTGAGTTTCTTTCTGCTGCTGAAGGTTTCCTGCATTGTAAGTCTGGTAGGTTTCCTTTCTCTTTCCTTGGCCTCTCGGTTGGAGGAAACCATCGCCGCATTTCTTTCTGGACTCCGAACCTATCTCGGTTGAGGAGCAAGCTCTCTAACTGGGCTGGGAGAAATTTGTCGATGGGGGGTCGAGTTACCCTCATTAACTCGGTCCTTGTTAACGTGCCTATTCATCCTTTGGCTTTTTTCAAGGCCCCCAAGAAAATTATTAGTGATATTATTGCAATTCAAAGACGTTTTCTATGGGCTGGGAATTCCAACAAAAAATTCATATCTTGGGTTTCGTGGAATACTATTTGCAAACCTAAGGAGCTCGGAGGATTAGGTATAAAACATGTTGGCCAATTTAATTGTGCCCTTTTAGCAAAATGGTTGTGGAGATTTCAAAGAGGTGGTAACGAAATTTGGAGAAAGACCCTTAACCTCAGATACGATAACTTGAGTCTGAAGGTGCAAACTTATGTTGATGCTGGCAGCCCGAAAACCGACTCACCCTGGATGAAGGATATTCTTACTATCATCAGATCTAATGTGGATTTCAGCAAGTTCACGACTAGCACTATTGGAGACGGTCGTGACACGGCGTTCTGGCAATCTATTTGGATTGGAGATTTGCCGCTTAAAAGTAGATTTCAACGTCTGTTTCAGGGTTGTTCCAGGAAATTAGCGAGTGTCAGTCAGATGGGAGCCTGGGAAGACGGTTTATGGGTCTGGAACTTGAGAGATTCGTTGTTAGGTCTGGTCTCCAGCTTTGAACCTGAGTGGACAGGGAGTAGGATTGTTTTGGATCAGATTACATTAGACAGTAATGTCGATGATAATTGGAATTGGATTCTCGATGACTCTTTGTCGTTCAAGGTTAGTTCTTTCTACTCTGTTCTTTCTTCTTCTGTATCTGAATTAGGAGTTCAAAGAGATAGCGATATCTTTCAGGAGGTTCTTTGGAAAACGGTTCTTCCGGTAAAAGTTCAAACTTTTTGTTGGAGGTTGGCTCTTGATAGAATTCCTACTAAATTTAACCTGTTGAAAAGACGGGTGATTGACGACCCCCTTCTTACGGATTGTGCGTTCTGTTCGAATTGCATTGAGGACACTTCTCATCTTTTCTTCACGTGTTCTAAATCCTTGTTGGTCTGGAATAAGATATGCATCTGGGTAGATATAGGGAGTATCTCTGAGGATAGCTGCCTCCGCCACATGAATGCCTGGAAATCTAGTCTCTCGGGTAGGTGCAAAGAGAACAAGATCAACTCTATTTGGTTTATTTCTTGCTGGATTTTAGGGAGGGCCAGAAATAAAATTATTTTCAATAATGAGACTATTGATGTAGACAACATAGTTATCGATATTAAAGTTTCATCATGGAACTGGTTGATTCTAGGTAGGAAGGATAGTAAGCACTGTAGCTTATACGATTGGTTCAATTTTCCGTTTCACTTTTTGTAACTCCCCTAATCTTGTGGGTTGATTGTAACTCTGTTTGCCTTGAGATTTTCTTAATCTCTTTCTAATGTTATTTGCTTATCAAAAAAAAAAAAGCCACATTACAACCCTTTAAAACTCTTGTGATTTTTTCTTTTATACTTTCAATATAATTATTTTTTAGATGAAAGCATAACTTGAATTGATGTTTGCTAATTTGTTGGGTGTGAGTTCAATCCCTCATGTTTGTTTTTCATCCCTTGATGAAGTTGTGTGTTAGGTGTGATTCATTCTTAAACATATGTATTGCTTTAGAATTTTTGACATGTGTTTTGTACTTGGACTTTGCTTCATTGTCATGGTGTCGTTGTAGTATAGTGGTTAGCATTGATTTGCATGTACTTTTGATATTTGTACCATACATTTGTTTTGGTTTGTAAATACTTGTTTATCATGATTCTTGGTGATTGCTTTTGTTTCTTTAGGTTGGTTGATTATAGTTTAAGGAAAAACAAGTCTGAGTTGGGGAGAGTTTGATGAGTGCTAAATTATTGTGAATTTGAGTGTGAATAATTATCACTCGTCGGATTTATTCATTGTTTATGTTATAGTGTATATATTGTATTATCATGTAAATATCATTGATTTTGATTATTTTTATCATATTTTTTGTAGGTATTCAAGCAATGATATTAATAATTGTCTTATAAAGCATTGAATATGATTTCTAGCACTTTTGATCGTGTGTAAATCGAAGTTATGGTTCCCAAGTTATGGTTGAAACAAGAGCTGATTTTACTGTCATGCTCGCTAGGCAAACTGAAAGCAAGCTCGCTAAGCGAGCTGAAGGCATGGAAAAGCACTGTAGAGGCAGAACTAAAACTTTTACATGGTCGCTAGGCAAGATCTTACAAATGTAGATATTTTCCTAAGGCGGTTTGATGCATTTTTTACTGATTGACATGCAATAAAGTGAGCTCGCTAGGCGAGCTGTGAAAATTTTATAAGCTAGTTAGATTCTGCGATGCTGACTATTCTGGGGATAGAATTGAGAGGAAATCCACAAGTGGAAACTTTCAATTTTTAGGTGAAAACATTATATCTTGGGCTAGAAAAAGACAAGCTATTATTGCTTTGTCTACTGCAGAAGCAGAATACACCTCAGTTGCTGTTAAGTGCAAAATATGACCTATTTTGAACTATCTTCTTGACATTTTTCAACTCATTTGTCATGTTTTAATGGATTTATTCCATGTTCTTGTGCGATTCTTCAATGTCGTGGTGAGAATTGAATATCAAGCTATTAATTAACTTGGTTCACAAATCTTAATTCACTATCGATCTTTAATTTATCCAAAGGAAGGGAAAAATAGAGAATAACCCAAAATATGCCATGCAATGCAAAGCAAAAGAGAATATAAGGTCCGGGGTTAGTTATACCTAAGGAATGTGCTAGCATCCTAAGTATCTGTAGTACTCTACAGGAACCTCTTATTTTGTTGTGTTATTTGTTATTTTGTCTACTAAATAGTGAAAATGTAAATGGGATATCTAAAGTGTTAGTCCTAAGTATGCTCTCCAAGACATTGCATCTCGTGTCTACATATCCTGATGGGAATGGAATCAGAGCATTCGTAGTCCCCTCATAAAGGGTAAACAAAGTAAAAGGAAAATGTTGAGTTTTAAAGGGAAATTATATCCTAATGTTATCATGCTTGGATGAACATCCTAATGTCTATCTTACTTCAAACCTAATCGAAAATTAAGTTTGAACAAAGAGATTCTAAGGAAATATGCATATGTGACAAAGCATCACAGAATAAATGAACATACACGAAAGAACATCGTGTCAGATAAAACATACACAGAAGAACATCGTGTGTGAAATTGAGTACATGGAAAAACATCATGCAATAAAAGTATATATGCGGGAAACCATCTTGTCATCATGAAAGAACATTATGGCAATTATACGTTCACGAAAAAATATTGTGATGAAGAAATAATCGAGGAATAAATGATCAGATAACAAATGAGCATGATATTACAAGTATATAAAAAAAATATAACAAGTAAAAATGTTAAGATAAACTCATGAGAAAATTAACATGCATATCAAATTAAATTAATTAACAAACTAATTATAAGAAAATAATAACTTCATTTTTTAGTTGTTATAGTAATATATAAAAAATTAATTAAATAAGATTAAATATTATATAAAAAAAGATTGAATTAAAACATAAAAGTAAAATAAAATAAGACAGGAAAGGGTGTATTCGAAATAAAAGGGTGTAGATATAAAAGAAATTAGCATGGGCTTTCAAAGCCCATAACAACAATGATTCTTTTTGTTTTTTAAAAAATAAATAGTAAAAAAAATGAACATAAGTTATCTGATGGAGAAAAAACACCTGATAAGATGCACTTGTTATTTTTCCAATCGTGTTTTGTCTTTGTGCGTGTTCCTCTCGTCGTGTGGCTCGTTTCGCACGGTGATCGTTCTCCCTGGTCTCATCCGCGGTAGGTTGTTGCTTGATATGTAGTGTTTCGGTTTTGGAATTGATTTGGTAATTGCTGCAGTTGAAATTGTTGTTGTGTTCTGCTCCTTGATTTCTTGCAGGTGGTGGCTTAATTTGTGAGAGAGTTTGGTTTGATACTCAACTTGCAAAAAGTGTATCAATTTATGTTTGAGAGAGAGAAAATATTGAGAGTAGGACGTCACTTTTTTTTCTTTGTTTTTTCTAATGCTTATATATAAGACTAGAAAATAGACAAGAATGATAATAATAATTAATATAATATATTTTTTATTTTTATAATAAGACAAGAATAAAAGGAATTAAAAATCATGT